TTTTAATGTTCAGAAACAAATAGGATGTAATTTCTTACCAATGTTTAATGGGCAATTGGAACCAAAAAAAAGTAGAAAGTCATATTTTACCTTGTATTTCTAGGACTAAGTATTGTATACTGTGTAGATCACTGAGCAAAGGTGTTGAGTACTTGGTTGAGGCTGCTGCAGCCGAAGCTGAGGCTATTAGTGCTACACTGGCGGCTGCCAAAGCCCGACAGGTTAATGGAGATGTTGTTGAGACTCCGGATAGAGACCGTGGGGCTGAGGCGACCCCGAGCGGGAAACAAATAACAACATTGATCAAACCCGAGCCTGTGACTTCAAACAACTCCACGCCAGCTGGAGTTCGGCTTCATCACCGTGCCGTCAGTATCTGGACGAGAAATATATATTACTTCAGTAATCACTCTTTGTTCATTATTTTTCGTTCTCTTTTAATTTATGCCATATTTGCAGGTGGTTGTGGCTGCAGAGACTGGTGGTGCTTTAGGCGGTATGGTCAGACAGCTTTCAATTGATCAGTTTGAAAATGAAGGCAGGCGGGTTAGTTATGGAACTCCAGAAAGCGCTACAGCAGCTAGGAAACTTCTAGATAGGCAAATGTCAGTTAATAGTGTACCTAAGAAGGTATACGCTTCTCATTACCCTTGGAATTTCATTTATTTATAGTTTTTCATGCACCAATGGTATCAGCTTTTTGGTGATGAGAGTAAAAAAGAATAGATTGCTTGTGAATTGAATTTCCGGCAATTACTTGTGCTTGCATTCTCCCTTATAAGAAGAATGGGACATTTGTCTTGTGGGAATGAGAGCTAAAAAGTTATATGCATTCAATGTTTTTGCTTCCTATAAATTCTCGTGCAATTTGTTTCAGCATTATATTATAATTATACTCGTGACTTCAAATTTTGGTATATTCACACGACCCTCTGTCCTAATAAGCTAGTCACATTTTTCATTTTCACATAGGTTATCAAATGCATTTAATATTCTTCATAAAAATAAAAAAATACATAATATTTATATTATACCCTATTTACACTAAACCCTGCGTTGATTAGTTACTTTGAAAGATGGGAATTCCCTCTTTGGATAGGAGTATAACAAGGAAAAAAATATTTATCTAACAGAGGGGACTACCATTCCATGAACATTAGAATAGGAGACGGAGAGGACTATCCAAGTAAGATGGATAGAGTGTTAAATTGTATAATAGATAATTCATTAGTTTTTGTTTCAGCCTCACTTTCATCTCCCTCCCAGGTTATTGCTCATCTTCTGAAGCCTCGTGGTTGGAAGCCTCCGGTACGGAGACAGTTTTTCTTGGACTGCAATGAGATTGCTGATCTTTGTGATAGTTCTGAGAGAATATTTGCTAGTGAACCTAGCGTGCTACAGCTTAGGGCCCCTATCAAGATATTTGGAGATTTGCACGGGCAATTTGGAGATCTCATGCGGCTTTTTGATGAGTACGGATCACCGTCGACTGCGGGAGATATAGCGTGAGTTTCCATAACGAGCTATTTAAATTATGATTATGAGTCTCTTTTTTACTTTGGCTGTTTCTTTCCGGTCCTGTTGTGCTGTAACTTTCAATTTTAGATGAAATTGTAAAACACAAATATTGATGTAATTGCTACGGAGATCATCATTCCCTTATATCCTAATTCTCCTGTTATAAATGAAAACTGGCCTGGACATTTTTAACGTTATTATTGTTGCTTGATATATGTTAACTAGTCTGCTCATGCACAAACACACACACACATATTGTTTTGGGCGATAATTATTTTTGTTAAATTTGTTTCAGTTATATAGATTATCTCTTCCTAGGAGACTATGTCGATCGTGGCCAGCACAGCTTGGAAACCATTACTCTTCTCCTTGCTTTGAAGGTACACGCTGCTCAATTTTTTTGAGTTGTTCGATCCTTTGTCCATTATTTTATTTGTTATAATCTTTCTCCTCGCTAGTGTTTCAGATTAAAATGATAAGTTAACTATACTCTCGTCTATATAGGTGGAGTATCCTCATCAAGTTCATTTAATCCGTGGTAATCATGAAGCTGCAGATATCAATGCTCTTTTCGGCTTTCGAATTGAGTGTATTGAGCGTATGGTAAATAAATAAAGCTTTTCCTTTTTTTCACCATTTCTCATTTTCCCCATTTCTTTAGATATTTAATGTGAAGGAATGATTTGGAACTAATGTTTGTTCCCAAATAGGGAGAGAGAGATGGGATATGGGCCTGGCATAGGATAAACAGATTGTTCAACTGGCTTCCTCTGGCTGCATTAATCGAGAAAAAGATTATTTGTATGCATGGCGGAATTGGGAGATCCATAAACCATGTCGAGCAGATTGAGAACATCCAGCGTCCAATTCCAATGGAGGCAGGATCGATTGTTCTTATGGACTTATTATGGTTAGTGTCAATTGAAACGTCTTTTTTTTTCCTTTTCCCTTTGTTTTAAATAATGACTTTTTAAGTCATCTTATAATTGTGGTTCTTTCCCTGTTGTAGGTCTGATCCCACTGAAAACGACAGTGTAGAAGGATTGCGGCCAAATGCAAGAGGTCCTGGTTTAGTAACCTTTGGGGTGAGAGTTCTTTCTTTCTTTCTTTCTTTCTTTTTTTTTTGTTTTTCCTTTTTCTTTACTCTTCTCCCTTTTTACTTTGATTGTAATTTTTTTATGCTCGAGATGATTCTGCTCTCGAGGTTTGGAAGTGTTCAATGAAGCATGGGTCTAGCAAGTAGCAGCTCATGTTAATGATTTATTACTCCCTAAACCATTTGTTGTTTTAGAAAGTCTCACAAAAATTAAGAAACATAGTAGAATGAGACGTCTGTCCTTGTTTCGGTTGAGTCATAAATTTCCATTTAGCGCGCATAGTAAAAAGTATGCAGATGAAGAAAGTTAAGAGGAAAATGTGAAATTGTTTCATTGATTCTATAAACCGGCAATTATTTTGGGAGTATTGCTAGGGTGAGTCAAAAACTGGTTTTCAGTACTGAACTTACTCGATGTGGTCTCGTCTTGAAAAACATGGTTCTGATCGGTTCTCTTTGTCTTGGTACCGTTCCTGAACCGGCCCGTTTAAACCAATGCTGTTATCGGTTTCATATATTTTGATGCAAATTTGATTAGTTAGATTAAACTGTGAATACTCAATTGGATTGATGAAATGGTCCATCATGTTCTACTTGTGAGAGGAGATGATTATATTGTTTCGTAAAAAAACAAAAAATAACAAAAAATTGTGGGTGAATTAGGAATTTACTAAAATGCAACAACTTGTGATTATTTCGGATACTAGATTTCTGTATACTTGATTGGATTTCATTTATTTTACACAAAATAAAAGAGATGATTAATTTCCTCTTTGGATTTAAGTAGGCCTCTTAGCCGATTTGGTCTTTTGTAAGGGAACGTTTATTGGACACAATAATTTGCTTGTGCCTACGCGTCTACTCATCAAATAATGCAACTTTTGGTGCCACACTGGACAGCTTTTCTATTCCGGCAAATTTCCTTGCATTTTCAGGCTAGAGGCTGCAATGCATAAATTTTGTGCATGTGTAATATAGGTTGCAATTTACCTAAAAAAATAATTTATGTTGCAAAAGTCAAAACCATGCATAATACAGGTTGGAAAGAATGATTTTTTTCCCTATATGTAAATACCCGCGTATTTGGGCAATGAGCACAAACACAAAAATGAATACGTAAACATATTAAGTAGTCATATCATATGCATGTCCCAACTCATTTTTAGTTAGAGTCGAGTTTCAAGGGATAGTACAAAACATTTGATTTCACTGTTTCTCATCCTTTGAAATGCTACTACATTAAAAGGAAGCGACCATTGTAGGTTGAGAGACGGTTGTTGTTAACCGTGAGAACCTGGCTAGACAATTTGTTTTAATGATGAGTCAGAATCTAGCTTTAGTTTACATATTGTAATGCATTTTCTCCATTTTAATTTTATGAAAATTCAAGTATTTTTTTTTTTTTCATAATTTTCTGATTATAATGTTGCACACGATAATCCCAAACATATTTTGTGACTGTTGGTCATGGTTTATATGCATCTATATAGCTCATCTATTATGTGTAATATATATATTACTATGGTACATCACACTTAAAAAGTATTGAAGACCTAATTCATTCCCCAAGGGCTAAAAGAACCAGAAGGTCTCAAAACCATCGGCCCCGGCTTTTATGCCTATATTTTTTCACACTCAAAGTAGTGATTCTGGTTTTTCATTCTTGAGCTGAAAACTCCTGTTATGCCGAACTTTTATTGAATATTGAGTTTGTATGGTACTTTCCGTAGTCCATTTTGTATCCATTGGAGAAAAGTAAAAATCGATATATAAAAGAAAAAAAAAATGGTCCCAAATTGGCATTGTCCCTGGATACATGTCTATCCAGAAGTTCCCATCTGGACTGATCCAGTTCGGTTCATGAAGTGGGGATGGGACAGGCAAAATCCCAGACCACCCCGAACCATGTGTATCCTATCCTACTGTATGCTAAAGGACAAATAATCTTGGACGGAGGGAGTATTCACTCGTTTTTTTGACTAATGATGTCTTGGTTTTCTTCTCCCCCTCTGTTGCAGCCTGATCGTGTCATGGAATTCTGTAACAACAACGATCTTCAATTGATTGTTCGAGCACACGAATGTGTGATGGATGGATTTGAAAGATTTGCTCAGGGACATTTAATTACTCTTTTTTCAGCCACAAACTACTGTGGTATGCCCTTTCATTTACAAATGTTGATATTAGCTCTTTAATTCTTATCATTCGTTTTTTTGTCATATCTTAACTCTCTCTCTCTCTCTCATTTCCACAGGTACTGCAAATAATGCTGGTGCTATTTTGGTATTGGGTAGGGATTTAGTAGTAGTGCCAAAGCTTATTCATCCTCTTCCGCCTGCAATTTCGTCCCCAGAAACATCACCTGAACGCCATATGGAAGACACGTGGATGCAGGTGCTATATTTGTTTCCAACCTCATGTTATTTACAGTGGATGCAAATCACAGAAAGCTACCTCATCTTTAGCCTAATTACAGAACCTCTAATTTTTATATTTTATTTTTCCCAAAAACACAATTACTCACCTATAGTGTTACAACTACCCCATCTGGTGAGGCTTATAGGGACAAATATAATAGTGAGGATTAAAGAGTCCTTTAGTAAGAAAATTTTTTGTTCAATTTTTCTTTATGGATTGAGGTGAACGTGAAAAATGGACTAGATGACAATATCCTTATTTTATTTTAATTTATTTTGTCATTAAGCTCTCTTTTTTTTATCTTATGCTGAGAATGATCATGACTCTCTCTCTCTCTCTCTCTCTCTCTCTCTCTCTCTCTCTCTCTCT